GGAATGCCAGACAAAATCTTTAGGGCTGGGACATAAACCCTCAGCCACCCATCAAGGCAGGACAGCAGTGGGCCTAGACCAAGGGTGGAAGAGGTAGCTTCAGTTGTTGCCAGGACAGCAACAGGTAGCACAAGAGCCATCCTGCTGACTTTTTACTTACTACGTACTGCAGTGGTTCTGAAGTAACGGACAGTGAAGACACTGGAGCTATTTACTCTGCAGAGAGAGAGAAAGATATGAACAAGGAAGTACCTTCCTTTGGAGGCTGCCGGCACCAAGCTCAAGTACAGAATTTATATTTGCTTAACTGAACTGAAAGGCTGCTCAGCTATTCTGATGTATTTGTTCCAAGGGAATCCTACTTACTGTTCAAGCTGCAACAATCCCACTAAGAAGAAAGGAAACATTAGAGCTTACCATCACTAGCGATGTCAGAAACTCAGTGAGAACTGACATTCATGGAATTTTAATTTAGGGAGAGAACCAAACAGAACCCCTGTGGTTTAAATCCTGATAAAAGGCTGACCTAGCCAGCCCACCCTACACCCAAGACTAGGGCAGTAACCATTTTTCACCTTGAGATCAGATCTGCCATCTCTACAGAAGCTGCTAGATTGCTCCAAAAAAAGAGAGAGCACCATAAATTGCCAACGGAAACATGTCCAAGATACATCTATTTTCTCTGCACCACGTCCACAGGGAGCTGGCAATCCCAAGTGTTCCAAAGGATGCTTTGTTATACCTACTGACACCACATTTGGAAATCTGAAGTAAATACGCTTTAGCATTTCCTCTAACATGGGCTACCTGGTGCAAACAGACCAACATTTCAGGCTTTTATGGATGGACTCTTAATGTTATTTCCCCAAATACATTTTTACAGGACCAGCTCAGCAATGCAAATCTTGCCAAATGAACAACAGCTTCCTGAACCACACCACTTTTCCTGACAGAAATCCTACCAGGAGGCCACCACAGAGCAAACAAGTCTTCTAGTCAAATAATCAAAGGGTAGAGATCCATTTATCACCAGTCTCCTCATTCCTGTCCCTTCCCTGCCTTGGTATCTGGTTCCAAACAAAGCTTATTTTCTTTGAGCATGCCACAGTTCTTGACCTGCAAAACCTAGATTTTGTTAGGGCTAGCTCCATTCTCCAACAACATGCACAGGGATTTTATGACAGCCAACCATATTCTGCCTCCCAGCCCCCAAAGCTTATCAGGGCTAGAGCAGCCCCAGCCTCTCCACATCACAGCTTTCCTGGGAATACTTACACAAGCTTCCTGCTGTTGGTGTAAGCCAGTCCCTGGCTGCCAGCCACACCTGTGAATGAGAATGGTGTTAACCCACAGGAACATTATCAGCCATCCAGCCCTCAAGTGTTCCTGTCAGGTAAAAGGAGTGCAGAGGACACCACAGTCCCACCCTGAAAGAAGGTTGGGACTAAGTGGGGAATATAGCCATATAGAGGCACCTCAGTGTCATCAAACCTGCCCAGAGCTTGCCAAGAACAGTGGTCTTGTCTTCATCTAGATTTACAGAGGTGGGAAAAACAGAGTCATATCTTTACCTCAATGCTAATAAGGATAACTTTGAAAAGGGGCAAACAAAGCAGCAGCAACCCCAGTCAGAACAAAACCAGGAAATAGCTACAAGGGACACCTCCAGGACTGCTACAAACTCAGTTGCTGCTGAGTTATCCTCACCAATACAAAGGGGTTCCTAATAGGAGCAAGGCATCAGTCGCCTAAGAGGCAGACCCAGGAAGCCTTGCAGCTGCATGGACAGGTAAGGAGGAAAAAAAGAATGAAAACAGGGTGTAGGGCAGAGTTGCAAGCCAGCATCATCCCTCTTCTCTGTCCCTGTAGGAAGAACACTTCTTTTCCAAAACTCACAGCAGGGAGGCACTTGCATAGCTTCTCAGTTTCATGCACGCCACTGTCCCCTTCCCACACTGCCCACATGCCCTGACACTGCAATTTTTATTACGAACTGAACTCCTGTCCTTTGTCTCTTTCAGGGCGCTGGGCAGTCTTCCAGACTGATCTTAAAGAGAGTCAGTGTAGCAATTGGAGAACATAATTATCTCAATTACACAATGCCAGAAGGAAGAACCATTTCCCCATTTGATTTTTTACAAAAGCGATACAATTTTGACACCATCCCCTACTAAAGAGCTGACACTGGAACTCTAGAAACTGGAAAAGGTAAAGCAGATTTAACTGGTTTCTCAAAGTGAAATCAGAAGTGAATGATGCAATGCTATATAAACACAGTACAGCTAGAAAAAACAGAGCTCTGGGAAAATCCAGTTTAAGCACTGAAGAGGAGTTCACAGGCATACTAGATTTGACATGTCACTTAACATTCACCCATCATTTTCAAAGATGTTTATTAGAGAGCGAGGCTCTGCAACAGCATGTTTCAAGCACTGCAATGCTTGAAATACACTGTGTTGCTGCTGTGAAATCTTTGCCAGAGCTGAATGGATCGGGCAGCATGTACATTAGGCAAGGGAGGCACTCACATGGTAAGACAGTTCATTTCACCAACTGTTTCATTACATGATTGACAGAAACAAACCCCCATCAAACCTATTACCAATTTCCATCATCAGCTCTAAGTAGTTTAAAATGAAATAAAAGCGTTAAGACTCACCAGACAGAGAGCATCTTGCCAGAGTACAGTTCCCCTGTCAGAGAGAAGAGGAACCATTAGTATTGCAAAAAGACGGATCCACCATTCCCATGCTCCAGACTGCAGGCATGTTACTTTCCCATAGTGTGCAAGAGTGGGAGATGGTGAGAGCATCTACGACTTTCTCTTTGCTTTGTCTCCTTCCAGGATGTTCTCCTGTGGAGTGATGTTAAAGCTGATGCACTTGGTTTTCAGCTGTGGCTCGAGCTGTTTTGATCTTCTCATGCACACTTTCCTGTTTAAGAAGGAACAGATTTCTAAAGACTCATTCACTGAAATTTGCTATGAACGAGAAGGTCAAGGGTAGCTACTGGATATGATGAAAAAACATCCCATGATGTTTACTCCTACAGTCATGAATGCAGCATCTGTGTTTGTTTGTTTGTTTTAAAGCGATGGAGCCTTTGAACTCCAGAAGGCCAGAATTTCCCTCGATGGCAAAATTCCTACTGCCTTCAGTGAGCCAGGAATTCTACCTTCTGGTGATGTTTCACCTCATACCCATGTAATCATTGACTGCACTCCTAGCTCAGTGTAACATTCCTCAAAAGTAAAAGACATTTCAAGATATTCCAGTTACTGTCCCTATTGTTATTATACACTTCTCTAGTATCAAACCTGCAGATCTGGAGAACCTAAGTACTCTTTAAAAGCTACAGGAAAAATATCACAGTAACCGTGACTAAAATGCAGTTGACTGGTTTGGAACAACAGCTACTGAACAGCTCAAAGCACCCTTATCCAGTAGCTAAGGTAAGAGGTAAAAATTAGATTTCATCCACATCTTCAGTGTCTGAAGGGAAGTTTGCATATAAGCCCTGATTTCAGCTTCACCAGAGCAAGCAGGATGGGATATAACTGATCTTCAATATCAAAATAATTTGTGGAGCTGTGTGTGATAAGACAACATAGAGATCAAAGACCAAAGAGATACTTAAGCTTGTCACACCATCTACAGGACTGAGTGCTGTAGCATGCAAAAATATATTCAGTGAACACGTCATATCATCAAAACTACTAATAGGCCTGGAATCGACCCCTTGGCAGCTTAATTATCCAAACTTACTGATGGATTTGGCTTCTCAGATATTAATGCGCAGCCAACTCAACGATCGATGGGCAGTTCAACAGGGTTATCATTAGCTGTGCAGAGGATGCAGGCAGCCAGGCTGACTTGCTGCTGAGCCAGCCTGGGTCTGGCAGAGCTCAGGAGCTCCAGCACAGTGCTATGCAGCTACCCTGCTTGCTGGTTCACTGTAGGGACCAACGATCCTGGACCGACAGTCCTGCAAAACCGGCTTCTGACAGGGCCCACTGGAGCCCCTGCCCCAGGTCTGGCTGGGGAAGAGAAAGCAGGGAGCACTGTGCAGACTTTGCAGAGTCATCGTGAACACTACGACGCTTAATCTTGGTGCAGCACTTGCCCCCTGCTAACTCAGATCTGGTTTGTGTAGAGCCAGTTCTAAGCTGGGATCAGTGCGACAAACTTCAACTTAACTCTGCTTGGTCAAGTGTTTAAAGCACCACAATCCTCAGCACATATGTTAGTTACCATATTGATCAAATTCTTCCCACTTTCTGTAAAGTCCCAGATAATATGAAGCCAATCACACATAAAATATCAAGTGACCTGAGCTCCCCTCTGCCCATTAATGTTTTCCTGGGTGCTTTATAAAAAAAGTGCTTAAAGGTATTCCTAGCATCCCAGACAATAACTTGTTAAGAAAGAGGAACAGCCTCAGACTGAAGCGGAAACAGCCAATTTTACTTGCTCAGGACCAGTTTATGTAAGGTTAAAAAAAAAAAAATGTTTAGAAGGGATGTCCTAAAACAAATTGTTGTGAGAAAACACATCTGCAGCTCTCTTCTGCAAGAAGTGCCAAGTCTGTGTTCCACAACTGCTGCAAAATCAAGGAAAAAATTGGTATCACTCTATCCTTCTGTCTTTTAGGTTAAGAAATGAGGGAAAGATTTTTTTAGGGAAGGAGCTCTAATGTGAGGAGGAAGCCACCAATAAAAGATACTGAGATTCCTCTCTCTTGTCTTCTGCAGAACCGCTACGTACCCATCTCTTAACTACAGTACCTCGGACATGCATATGCCGCTCCAGGAGATGCCGGACAGGGCTGTTTCCTGTTCCCTTTTTCCCTGAAGGAATCACTGCGGTTGCACCTGTTCCTGGTACCACCTGGCTAAATCGGCCCTCTGCCTCATCTTGGAGCTTCTTCAGTGAAAATGGAAACATTTAGGTTTTGCTACTTGGCACCTTGGGTCATTTTAAAAAGACAGCCTTCATTTGGAGGAATAAGTCTTGGTCTAATTAGCTAGTGACTCACGTACCAAGTGATTAATTATTCCCCCACGTTTCATATGACTTCTCAGAATTGTTTTTGTATCTGTTATGTCAAAGTGACCCTGGCACATAGCATCCCATGCCTTTCAAGGAGCTGTCACTACACACTGAAATAAGTTACGGAATACATCAGCCAAAGCGACAGCCTGTGTACCTACAGATTTCTTCTCCAACAGAGGAGACAGGAACCAGTTCAGGTAAGGACACTAACTGGACAGGAGGGTACAGTTAACTTCAACAGAGGCAAAACAGAAGCACAGTGATGGGCAGCTCTAACAACAGGCAAAGCATCAATCTGTTCTCCATCCCCGGCTTCTTCAAAGCAAAGAAGCTGCTGCTTTAACAACAAGCATGAGCACAAGCCACTGCTACACACAAAAAACCTACTGCATGTCTTTCACGGATTTTAACACAATTATATATAGTATGGCAGGGCAGATGCTAAGATGGGATGGAGATAACAATGCTGAGTGGTAAGGGATACTGTTACTAAGACAACAGGCTGAGAACTCCTCCAGCATGTGGGGAGGATCAAACAGGGAAGAAAAAGTTCTTTACAAACTCTTCCCCAGATAAATAAAAGGACTTCATTCTCAAAGCACTGAATATGCAGCTCCTCATCAAACCATCCTTTTTCAGACTAGTTCTTTTCTGGACTTTTTCATGTCATCCTTCAACAGCTGCCCCTCCCACCCCACCGAGTCTTACACGCTTGGATGCAGGCTGTTGATGCACATTGATGATTTCTATTTCACATATGAATGCAGGACCTTTTCCACTTTTACAAGATCTAAATCCAGCCAATCCTTCCCTAACCTCATCATTTCTTGCTGACTCCACATTCAACCCTACACTTCTGAATTTTGTACATGTCTATTCTTCTCACTTCTCCCATCAGAGGTTTGCCAAGTGCTGGCATGTTTCTGTCTCTCCAAAAAGAGAGATTATCCCCTTTATATTAAGGGGATATTATATCCCTTATTTATAACCCCTTTGTATTATTCCCTTCGATAAAACCTACTTCCCATATCCTTACTCAAATGGAAATCAAACTACCACCACATCCTGACTTCTCAACCTTTCTATTACATCTAACAGATTAACTAAAATTATCTCCCCTTCCTAGTACTCAACTATAACCTCCTGTAACCTCCTGATTTGCAGATTAGTTTTGTAAAAGTTTGAATACTCCATCTGGCTTTCCCCGCTATTCTCCATAATTACGCAGCACTACTGAGAGCTGATATAATTTAAATATTGTTAAAATGCCATTTAAATAAGTTTATTTTAATCTACATGTGCTGATTTTGGCTGGGATAGTTAATTCTTCATAGGAGCTAGTATAGGGCTATGGTTTGGATTTTTGCTGGGAACAGTGTTGATAATACAGGCATGTTTTCGTTATTGCTGAGCAGTGCTTACACAGAGTCAAGGCCTTTTCTACTTCTCACCCCACTCCACCAGAGAGTAGACTGGGAGTGCATAAGGAGTTGGGAGGGGACACAGCTGGGACAGTTGACCTCAACTAACCAAAGGGATGTTCCATACCATATGATGTCATGCTCAGCATATAAAGCCAGTGGAAGAAAGAGGAAGGGGGAGGATGTTTGGAGTGATGGCATTTGTCTTCCCAAGTAACTGTGACACATGATGGAGCCCTGCTTTCCTGGAGATGGCTGAATACCTGCCTGTCGATGGGAAGTGGTGAATGAATTCCTTGTTTTGCTTTGCTTGCGTGCGCGGCTTTTGCTTTACTTATTAAACTGTCTTTATCTCAACTCCTGAGTTTTCTTTTCGATTCTCTTCCTCACCCCACCAGGGGGGAAGTGAGCAGCTGCATGGGGCAGAATTGCTGGCTGGGGTTAAACAATGACACTGCACTATAATCAATTTGTATCTACAAATATATATAACAAAATATAACTATATAGTTATAAATTGTACAAAAAACTGCAATATAAACATTATACATATTTATAAACACAAATCTGTTTGTAGCACCTACAGGCAAGCACTTAACATACAATAGCCCTATGGAGAGGCATGACATAGTTAAGTGTTCAGCATTACAATTAGCTGTCAACACTTGCTTATCTATATTCACATGATGGCTAAAATCAATTTCATGCTCTATGGCTTCAGCTGGTCATCTGGAAGTGATCTTTTTCCTCCTGTAGGTATGCATACATATGTATGTATATGCGTGCATATATATACATGTCTATAAATAAAGCTATGCAT